ATTTTTTTTTTTTTTTTTTTTTTTTTTTTTCTATTTATCTATTTGTAAATATACCATATTTATTACACATCTATTTATATTTCATTTAAGAAATATATTAACATATATTTTATTTATATTAGAAAATTCAGTAATCATATACTTCATTTTCTTCATATATTTTTTATTCTTTTCTTTCTCCTTTGCTTAAATTTTCATATTCTTTTTTCAACTCTTCCATCTAAAGAAAATTTTCATGAATAAAAATATATATTTATATATATATATATATTAAAATAAAATATAATAATAATAAATTTTTATTTTTTTTTTTTTTTAGTAATTTTTTTCTTTTTTAACCATTATTTTTAATTTATTGAAATATTGTTTCTTTTCGTGAAATCCTTCAAATACATTTTTTGTTAATACATTTATTTCCGCTTCATTATATTTTTTAATTGATTCTTCTTTTTTTTTTTTTAAATCATTTAATAACTCTTTTTTATTTTTTATAGCATTATATGATTCTTCTAATAATGTAATTTTTTCATTTAATAATTTTTCTAAATACAAATCCTTTTCATCATAATGTAATTTTTTCTTTAAAAAAAAAAATTATTATTAATAGTTAAATATATATCCGTTTTATATTTTTTTTTTTTTTTTTTTTTTTTTTTTTTCATGTTATGATTTGTACTTCTGTAGATTTCCTAATTTTTTTATTAAGATTCTCAATTTTTTTTTCTAAATTGTTTTCTTTACTCTTTAAATTTTTATATTTTAATTCTAATTGTTCAAAATCTGCATGAATTAAATTTTCATTTTTTAACTTAAACTTGTTAAATAAAGAAATTTGAGATCTAAGTATACTATTATGTTCATATAATTTTCTCATTGTTAACATGTTTTTTTTAAATATGTCTTCCTTTCCAGATATTTTAAAATAGTTCAAATCTTCTTTTATTAAATAACTTCAAAAAAACAAAAAAAAAAAAAAAATAATAATAAAATAGAAATAAAAAAAAATTAAAATAAGATATAATATGTAAAGTACAAAAAAATTAGACATATTGAAAATAAAATGAAACTAAAAAAAAATTTTTATGTTAAAAAGAGAAAATTTTGAATTACCAGAAATCGTTTTGTTTAATTATTACTTCTTTAATACAATTAAAAAATTCTTCAAGCAAAAGATAAGTATCATTTTTCATTTGATTATTAACTATTTTTAATTTTTCTATATAATCAATAACAGATATCAACACATTTTTATATTTTTTCTCATCTTCGATTGAGTCACTTTCATATATAAAATTATTATCTTCAATATAACTTAATAATATACTTTGTATTTTTAAGTTATTCTCTTTAATTTTTTCATTTTCTTTTGTCAAATTTTCATTTATTATTTTTTCATTTTTTATAATTACATCTATATTTTCATCATTTAAGTTTTTTGAATGCAATTTATTTATATATATATTACTACTACTTATATTTTCTTTCATATCTACTTATATTTATCATTATATAATAAAAATTAAAATAAAAAAAAAAAAAATTTTATATACTCTAAATTATTTTTAATAGAAGATAGGGAGAAAAAAATCAAAAATTCTAAAGAGCTAATTAGGTGAAAAACATAGAAATATTTTTATTTCTATTTTCTTAAAATAATTATATAATATTAAGTCTTATTTTTTTTTTTTTTTTTTTTCTTTTTATTTGCAATTTTATTTTTGAAATGTACAATAGGTCTTTTTTTTTTTTTTTTTTTTTAATTACTTTACAAATTTTAAATAATTTCTACTATTGTTTATTTCAAAAAAAAAAATATATTTCTTTTTACTTCTAATTGTATGACAAATTTAAAAAAGCTTATATATATAAATTTATATGTATATATATTATTTATATAATTATATATATATATATATATATTTTTTTTTTTCCAATACTTTGTCTAATATATATATGTTTTTTTAAAAATATTTTACTGATACATTTTTAAATATATTAGGTAATCTGTACTTCATATTAAAAACAATAAAAAATAAAAAAAGTAAAAAGTATCAAATTAAGGATAATATTTATATACATATGTGTATAAATTTGTTT